TCTTGCAGCAGATTGCATGACAGCGGCAAGGCCACCCTTTTGGGTCTTTCCGAGCACTAAGTTTTCAGCCGACTGCATGGTGGCCGCATCTTGGGGTGCGACCGGTTCGGAAGCGAGTTCACCAGAGACTGAGAAGACATCACCATATTTGATGGGTTGTTGGTCGGCCTGAGCTTGAGGTCTTCTTGGCTGTTGCTGGCTCATTTTGGATTATTGACTAATACTGAATGAATTAACAGAGCGATGCAGAATAGAAATTAACAAGAAGATGAAGAGACTTAATTGGAGTTGGATCGCAATGTGGGAATGCATATATATATATATATATATATATATATATATATATATATATATAAGTGCAATTGCGAGAGCAGATAAGTTTTCAATAGGATGGTACGTGTTATTAGTGTCATATGTGTTGCATGAAAAAATGAGACACTTGGGTGCTATAATGTTACAGGTGGCGAAGTTGTTGATTTTAGACATTACTATATTTTGGGTAATGTCCCCCATCTAGTGCTTGATTACACGTGTTGTTTGAAGAAAGGGGCGCTTGGATTTTATTTTACAGATGGTAGTTCTTCTCATGCCAAGCTAGCTAGCTGTGACCTCTCATCACTCACACTCCTAACCTGAGCTCACCTGAAGTTTTGTAGAGCTCCTGGTTTTTATCCCATTTAATCATTTATGCTGTGTTTGGTGTGTAGTAAAATAATAAAGGGTTGACCAGAGATACTTTTTGCTGATATCATAAAAAAGGTAAACGATAAATGCCCAAATTACCCTCCAATGATCATGTTTGGCTAAATTGTACCTATCACATTTTATATGGATATGAAATTACACATAATTTAGAATTACACTATGCTTGTAACCAAACAAGGTTATATTATATATTATATATATATAAACGGCAGTTTCCAAAATAAATAAATATATATATATACATCCACCTCTTCACCGATGACGGTGCCGAATCCCCATGCTGTACCCCTTTCAATGCCGGGAATAAATGATTCTCAATGGCTCTGGTTTAGAAGGGTGGATCAGATCAGATCCTCTGTGAGCACGAGCATGGTTCGCGACTTCTCTCGCTGGAGGCGTTGATGGCTCTACGGCCGGGCATGAGATTTCGGCGACGGAGGAGTTGGCGGCGAAGACTAATTCGACGATTGTGAATTCGTTCAAGAAGATTTCTCTCTTAGTTCTTCCACGAAGAGAATCGTATGCCGGATTCTCTACTCCTCCTGGTCTTTAACATGATTGGAGACGTCAAAGCCCTAGGTCGATGCAGCGTTGTTTCGCAGCGCTTCCACAGCTTGGTACCTCAGGTGGAGAACATGGTGGTCCGCGTTGATTGCGTCATCTCCAACGACGACGCTTCCTCTGCATCTGGGTCGTCAGATAAATCACGCGGTGCGTTCTCCAACCTTTTCCGGCTTGTATTCGGTGGAATCGTGAAACCCCTCCAAGCCCTTGGTCAATTCTGGGCCCAAAAAGGTCGAACTCTGGTTCGTCCTCCCTCGCTGTTGGCCGTGGGTTCGCGGTTGGCGTCGATGACGATATTGACCAGGGTGGGGTGACCCACCATTCGCCTACCCGAGTGTTGAAGAATTTTAACGAGATCAAATTTCTCAAAATTGAGCTTCCTAGTGGTGAATTGGGCATAGATAACGGTGCTTTGTTAAAATGGAGGTGCTCGGCGACGACGAGCTTGCCGGCGAGCCAAACCCAATTTTTTCAACAAGTTTTATCGACCCAAAACGGAATAGAGCTACATCAACCTAGACCCAACATCGAGCTCAAAGAAACCACTCCCTCATGTTTGCGGCATTTGCCCAATTGCCGGATTCCTTGCTCACATTATCATAGTGTCGTCGTCATTTGGTCCGTCGGTAAGTTCAGTCCGGCTTTAGGCAACTAAGTACTGTAATATTTGTGATATATATATATATATAATGTTAAAAGAAATAAAGCAAGTGGGCCCCACCCATGTTATAAACACACAAAAGGCCATAAGGCCATTATACGAATCCACTATTTTCTCTCTCTCTCTTGCTGCAACCAGTCTGCTCTCGGCAGTTTCAATTTTTTTTTTTTTTTTGCAACTTCAAACCTTGATCTTGCTTTTTCCTTTGGGAATTTGGTAGAACATTGTGAAGCAAAGTTGTTGAGCTCGTCGAGGCTGTCAATTTGATAGGAGCCAATCATCATTTGGTGCACTCTAGGGAGTTCAAAATTCTAGGGTTCTTGGGCTCAAATTGGAGGTTTTCATCAATTTGCGGTAGGGGTATTCTAATCTACAATTTCTTGGCCTTTGGTGAATTTTTTCCCTTAAATTTGATTATAAGCATGCTAAATTTTAATTACTTAGCTTGTTGTTGTTGTAGTTATATGTAATTACAATGATAATTGTGTTCCATGTATTATTTGAGTTCATATGCATGTCTATTTTCATTACGGTAAATGAGCATGCTTAGTGTTCGATGTGGTATGTGTTCCATGATTATTTATTTATTTATTTATTGTCTTGAAGAAAAAAAAAATGGGTGCTATGGTTATAAATAAATAAATAAAGGAAATGAATGTTTAGAAATTTTCATTAAATTGTGATGATGATGTAAATGGAAATATGTGAAAACATATAGTTAAATTGATGATTTAAAGCATGAAGCATTCATGCATCCATTGGGAAAGAGAAAGGGGGAAAAATTTTTGTTAGAATAAATAAAATTGTTTTGGGAAAAATATTTTCTAAAAATGTTGCGAAAACCGGACGCCTAGGAGGCGCCTAGTGGTCCGTGATGTTAGTGTAGTCTAAAAAGGAATGTAATTGAGTTAACTAGGCCGGATGCGACACCTTGGAGGTGCCTTGTGGTCGTGGATAGTTAACCAACCTTCCTTTCGTGACGTCTTGGAGGTGCCTTGGGTCGGATTACATTAACGGTTTGGTTGTTGAAACGGAATTGTTTCGGAAACGGGGAGTGGCATAGGCATGACATTGCACTTCATGGTACATGTGGAAAATTTGTGATTAGATGTTATTTATACTATGTTTGTCGTTATGATTAAGATTATGTTTTTCCCATGGTATGACCCCGTCCCTTTTTATCAATTCTTTGTATGGGATTCACGAGGATATAAGAAGTGTGTATTAGACACTTCCTACTGAGTTTATGCTCATTCCATTTTTTTTAAACATTTTTCAGGACACGGAAAAGAAGTGGTGGACGACGATCCACTACTGGTTTAGACTAGCTAGGAGATCTATTTTATTTTGCTATCTTTTGTTATATTTTGTATTAAAACTTTAATATATATTTTGTAAACGTAATTTTAAATATTTTGTGAAACTTTAGTTTAGTTGATATAATGTTGTAAGTTATGGACTTTATAATTTTAGCTACAATTATGGACTGTAACTTGAAGTGACGGATGTGTCTCTTGTTTGGATGAGATGGAGGAACGAGACTTTTGTATGTATGTAACCATTTTGGAAATATAGTATAATATCTGAATTGTGCGTTGGGACAGGATAAGTTAGATTTAAGGCCCAGTGAGGCCATTGCATTTATTTTTGTATTTCAACAGGTTGTTGAGGGACATTTTCTACGGACGTCGTGCCAAAATTTTTATAGATTTTTATTATTATTTTGGTATCTTTTCGGGTCGTTACAAATTTGGTATTAGAGCGATGGTTCGAATACCATTAGGACGACGGGTAGAGGCTTACTTAGGATTGCATGGGGAGTTGAGTTATTTACTTATTTGCTTAATTACTTACGTGATTGTATACTTATATGCTTATGTGTTAAGGTGCTTAATTATTTGAAAGGCACGCTTAATTGTTTAATTGCTTAGATGAGTACGTGCTAAGTGCTTAGTATTGTTGCATATTATTAGCATGATCATGTTTCTCATTAGTTGGGTATTCTGGGAGCAAGGAAGGTGTTTATGTGTTTCCATTTTTGTCAAGTCATTCATATGAGGATTCCGTTCTCGTGCGTATTTTAGTGTCATCGTTATTGATCCGTTTCCTTTTTCTTATAGCGTCATGCCACTACGAAGGGATCCTTGGGAAAGTTCTAGCTCCAATCCCGTGGAAAGGGATCAGGAGCAAGTTGAGGAAGATATCTTATTGCGTGATTTGGTCCCACCAAGAGAGGGACAAGCGAGGGGGGACCGTTGACCCACCTTTTTAGATAAATAGGGAGCAGATGAGGTTAGCCGTTCAGGCGGCTATTTTTGATACGTATTGACCGACATGTGCGTCATCGTCACAGTTTGTGCCACCACCACCACCACCTCCAAAGAAAAATGAGTTAGATAGTACTCTTTACCACATTGCTAAGTTTGTGAAGTTGATCCCAACTCTGTTTGAGGGCGGTCCAGATCCGCTTGTTGCCGATAGTTTCATGGATAGGGTGGAGAAGCATATTAATGCCATGAATTTGGCAACGGACAAGTTGAAGATTATATTGGCTACTTACAATTTTGTGGGCGATGCTGAGATTTGGTGGAAGACCATTTCTCACACCCATAATCTGGATACTATGACATATGCTACTTTTAAGAAGTTGTACTATGAGAAGTACTTTCCGGTGCCTAAGCGGAGGGAACTAAAGAAGGAGTTTGATGGGTTGAAGCAAGGAAGCATGACAGTTACAGAGTATGAGAATAAGTTTACATCGCTTTTGAGGTTTGCACCGGGAATTGCTAATGATGAGGAAGGAAAAATAGAGAAGTTTGTTCATGGTCTTAATCTCACCATCAGGCCAATTGTAGCTGCCTCAGAACCGACAGAGTATGCAAAAGCAGTGCGAAAGGCCTTAGTAGTTGAGGCTGAAAGCAAGGACAGTAAGGCTATGAGGGAATCTTACAAGCACAACAAGGGTATGAGTGCTTTATCCGAGGGTTAATCAAGTAAGAAGCAGAAGCATAAACAGTCAGGGTTCAGAGGACAGCAGCCAGTCAGATCCGCCCTCACAGCTTCAGTGTCCATGGGGTCTTCTACACCGAATGTTACTTGTTTTAGATACGGACACCTGGGACATTACAAGTCCCAATGCACTCAGACACAGGTAGCTCAGATGATTTGTTTCAAGTGTAGGCAGCCAGGGTATCAAAAGTCTCAGTGTACTCAGATTCAGGTGGCATCTGGTGGATGTTTCGGGTATGGCCAGCAGGGCCATAGGGTGAAAGATTGTCCACAGCGGGGCAATGGTTTGGGCAGAGGTGGAGGTTCACAGCAGAGGCAGATGCAGTCTGCCACAGTTCAGTCAAGGTTTCGACCACTACCACCACCTCAGCCGTCTCGGCCAGCTATGTCAGCCCAGAATTCTCGACCTGGTAGAGGAGCTTCTTCGAGTGCACTCATTCAGTAGTCTGGTTATCAGGCAGGCGGTTCTCAGGGGCAAAGGACCCAGGGTAGCGTGTTTGCATTTACTCCAGCCGAGCCACCATCCAGTCCTTCAGTTGTCAGGGGTATGTTTCTTGTGTCCCATTCTTGGGTTCCGGTGCTTCTTATTCATTCATTTCTTCATCATTCACATGGGCATTGGGTTTGGAGGTTAGTCAGTTAGACAAACCGTTCTGTGTTGACACACCTATTGGGGATTCAATCATTCTTAGTAGAGTTTGTAGGAGTTGTTCCATCACGATTGCCGGACGTGTTATTGAGTTCGATCTCATTCTTCTCGAGATGACGGGATTTGACGTCATTCTTGGGTTGGATTGGTTGTCTTCCTTCAGAGCTGTTATTAATTGTTTCAAGAGTAGAGTTTCAGTGTGTACCCCGGATGGGGATTGTTTCTGTTTTGTGGGAGATCGGTGCGATCCTCTCACTCATTCATTTTATGGTGTTAGGGGTCGGGATCGGCAGACATTCTTCTTGGCTAGTCTTCTCGCCGATGATGACGTTGAGATTTATGGGGTTGATTATCCAGCGGTTGTGCGGAATTTTCTGGATATGTTTCCGTAGGACTTGACTAAGTTACCTCCACACCGAGAGGTGGAATTTGCTATTGATTTGATGCCTGGTACCACGCCAATCTCTATGGCACCGTATCGTATGGCACAGATTGAATTAGAAGAATTGAAAAAGCAACTTGACGATTTGATAGTGAAAGGCTTCATACGACCGAGTGTGTCACCGTGGGGTGCACCAGTCTTGTTCGCTAAGAAGAAAGATGGTTCTTTAAGGTTGTGCATTGATTACCGGAAGTTGAATCATGCCACTGTCAAGAATAGATGATTTGTTTGATCAGTTGAGGGGAGTCAGTTGTTTTTCGAAGATTGACTTGAGGTCAAGTTATTATCAGTTGCGGGTTAGAGAGGAGGATATTCCAAAGACCGCCTTCCGTACGCGGTATGGACATTACAAGTTTCTTGTTATACCTTTTGGCTTGACTAATGCACCAACGACATTCATGGATCTAATAAACTTTGTCTTCCACGATTACTTGGATCAGTTTGTGGTAGTTTTCGTGGATGATATTCTTGTGTATTCACGGACTCGGGAGGAGCACGAGGTCCATTTGAGTATAGTGTTGCAGATTTTGTGGGAGCACCGTTTATACGCCAAATATGAAAAGTGTGAGTTTTGGCGACAAAAGGTGAAATTTTTAGGACATGTTGTCTCGGAAGGTGGGGTTTCAATTGATCCTTCAAAGATAGAGGCAGTTTTGAGTTGGGAGCAACCCAAGAATGTCTTTGAGATCCGGAGTTTCCTTGGCTTAGCGAGTTATTATCGGAGATTTGTGAAGGATTTTTCCCGTTTGGCAACTCCTATGACCAGATTGACCCGGAAAGGGATCAAGTTTACATGGAATGAGGCTTGTGAGTTATCCTTTCAAGCGTTGAAAACAAGGTTGACTACGGCTCCGGTATTGGTGATACCTGAGCGTGGCTTGGGTTATGTGATCTATTGTGATGCCTCACGAAATGGTTTGGGTTGTGTACTGATGCAAGATGATAGAGTAGTGGCGTATGGGTCTTGCCAGTTGAAGACTCACGAGCTTAACTACCCTACTCATGACTTAAAGTTAGCGGCAGTCGTGTTTGCTTTGAAGTGTTGGAGACACTATTTGTATGGTGAGAGATTTGAGGTGTTTTCGGATCACAAAAGTCTCAAGTACCTTTTCTCCCAAAAGGACTTGAACAACAGACAGAGGCGATAGGTTGAGTTTTTGGAAGATTACAACTTTGGTCTACAGTATCATCCGGGTAAGGCAAATGTGGTAGCTGATACTTTAAGCCGGAAATCTCGTGGGACTTTGGCTAGTTTAGCCATTCGGAAATGGAAGATACTGGAAGATTTGGCTGAAATGGGATTGTATTGCTTTGATGATGATGATGATGGCAGTGAGTCAGCATTCTTGTTTAGTCTAGTGGCTCAACCCACTCTTGTTAGACGGGTGATTGAGTCACAGAGACATGATTCAGATTTGGATGCCATTTACACTTTGATTTCCAGTGGCGAGACCGTGAAGGATTGGACCTTAAATACAGATGGAGGTCTATGGTTTAGGGGTTTATTGGTTATTCCCACAGTTTGTCGTGAGGACGTCTTATCGGAGTTTCACACTTCCTGCTTTGCAGTTTATCCGGGTGGTACCAAAATGTATCACAATCTGAGACGTCAGTATTGGTGGAATGGAATGAAGAAGGATGTTACACAGTTTATAGCTAAGTGCCTTACCTGTCAGCAGGTGAAGGCCGAGCACCAGAGACCAGCTGGTTTATTGCAGCCATTGCCGGTAGCGCAGTGGAAATGGGAGGAGATTGCAATGGACTTTGTGACAGGTCTTCCTAGGTCACGGAGGGAAAATGAAGCCGTATGGGTCATTATCGATAGATTGACTAAGACGGCTCACTTCTTGCCTGTTAAGGCAACAGCTGATGCAGAGGTGCTTGGTGTGCTTTATGTGAAAGAGATTATAAGATTGCACAGAATTCCAGTGGCTATTGTTTCAGATAGGGATGCCAAGTTCACCTCGAAGTTCTAAGAAGGACTTCAAGCAGCGTTTAGCTCAGTGTTGTACCTTAGTACGGCATTCCATCCACAAACGGACGACCAGTCGGAGCGTACCATCCAGATCTTAGAGGATATGCTTCGGGCCTTTGTATTTGACTTGGGTGGTAGTTGAGAGGATTACCTTCCACTTATTGAGTTTGCCTACAATAACAGTTATCAGGCGAGTATTCAAATGGCTCCATTTGAGGCGTTGTATGGTAGACCTTGTAGGTCTCCTGTCTGTTGGACTGAGGTGGGCGAGACAGCTGCCTTAGGACCCGACATTGTACTCGAGACTGCCGAGAAGATTAAGCTGATCAGACAGAGATTGCTTACAGCTCAGAGTCGACAGAAGAGCTATGTAGATAGGCGGAGACGACCGTTATCCTTTGAGGTGGGAGACAACGTTTTTCTTCTGGTTTCTCCAAAGAAGGGGTTGATGAGGTTCGGGAAGAGAGGCAAGTTGTTGCCACGATTCATTGAACCTTTTGAGATCTTGGACCATGTAGGAGAGGTTACTTACAGATTAACATTACCACCGCAGATGGATAGGGTCCATAATGTTTTCCATGTATCGATGTTACGAAAGTACGAGTCGGATCCGTCTCACATTTTGAGTTGGGTTGATGTGGACATTGATGAGAATGTTTCCTACGAGGAGGGACCAATTCAGATCCTTGACACATAACAGAAGGCGTTGAAGAAAAAGACGATACCGTTGGTAAAGGTTCTTTGGAGGCATCATGGAGTTGAGAAGGCTACTTGGGAGCTCGAACAGGAGGTTCGCTCCAAGTATCCAGTGTTAGTTTCTTCCTCAGGTATGGCTTGATTTCGGGGACGAAATCTTTTAAAGTTGGGGAGAATGTAATATTTGTGAGATATATATGTGTGTGTGTGTGTGTGTGTGTGTGTGTGTGTGTGTGTGTGTAATGTTAAAAGAACTAAAGCAAGTGGGCCCCACCCATGTTATAAACACACAAAAGGCCATAAGGTCATTATACGAATCCATTATTTTCTCTCTCTCTCTTGCTGTAACCAGTCTGCTCTCGGCAGTTTCAATTTTTTTTTTTTCTTTTTGCAACTTCAAACCTAGATCTTGCTTTTTCCTTTGGGAATTTGGTAGAACATTGTGAAGCAAAGTTGTTGAGCTCGTCGAGGCCGTCAATTTGATAGGAGCCAATCATCATTTGGTGCACTCTAGGGGTTCAAAATTCTAAGGTTCTTGGCCTCAAATTGGGGGTTTTCATCAATTTGAGGTATGGATGTTCTAATCTACAATTTCTTGGCCTTTGGTGAATTTTTCCCCTTAAATTTGATCCTAAGCATGCTAAATTTTAATTACTTAGCTTGTTGTTGTTGTAGTTATATGTAATTACAATGATAATTGTGTTCCATGTATTATTTGAGTTCATATGCATGTCTATTTTCATTACGGTAAATGAGCATGCTTAGTGTTCGATGTGTTGTATGTTCTATGATTATTTAGTTATTGTCTTGAAGAAAAAAAAAAATGGGTGCTATGGTTATAAATAAATAAAGGAAATGAATGTTTAGAAATTTTTATTAAATTGTGATGATGATGTAAATGAAAATGTGTGAAAACATATAGTTAAATTGATGATTTGAAGCATGAAGCATTCATGCATCCATTGGGAAAGAGAAAGGGGGAAAAATATTTGTTAGAACAAATAAAATTGTTTTGGGAAAAATATTTTCTAAAAGTGTTGCGAAAACCGGACGCCTAAGAGGCGCCTAGTGGTCCGTGATGTTAGTGTAGTCTAGAAAGGAATGTAGTTGAGTTAACTAAGCCGGATGCGATGCCTTGGAGGTGCCTTGTGGTCGTGGATAGTTAACTAACCTTCTTTTCATGACGCCTTGGAGGTGCCTTGGGTCGAATTACATTAACGGTTTGGTTGTTGAAACGGAATTGTTTCGGAAACGGGGAGTGGCATAAGCATGGCATTGCACTTCATGATACATGTGGGAAATTTGTGATTGGATGTTATTTATACTATGTTTGTCGTTGTGATTAAGATTATGTTTTCCCCATGGTATGACCCCGTCCCTTTTTATCCATTCTTTATGTGGGATTCACGGGGATATAAGGAGTGTGTCTTAGACACTTCCTACTGAGCTTATGCTCATCCCATTTTTTTTAACATTTTTCAGGATATGGAAAAGAGGTGGCGGACGGCGATCCACCACTGGTTTAGACTAGCTTGGAGATCTATTTTATTTTGCTATTTTTTGCTATCTTTTGTATTAGAACTTTAATATATATTTTGTAAATGTAATCTTAAATATTTTGTGAAACTTTAGTTTAGTTGATATAATATTGTAAGTTATGGACTTTAAAATTTTAGTTACAAT